TTAAGGACATACAATTGGACCAGATAAACTGATTTGTTTTTACTCTTGAGGTCGTTAGAGGATCTGTTCCTCAGGGGTCCCATGGGGTTGGGAGGAGCCCCTGGCTCCTTTCTTTTACCAGTTCCATCTATGTGAAGATAAGTCAAAGGTCCTGCTCGACCATTGTTGGCTTCTCTTGGAAGCATGGAGGAAATGATTCCTCCGTGTTGACCCTCCTCTTTATAGACTGGACACTGGTTCAAGTCCATCTGGTGGGGTCACCTTGGCTTCCCTGATCAAGAGCTCAGATGACCCACCACCATTACAGGACATTTTGCGTGATGCTATTAATATGTTTTTTAATGTAAGCTTGTCTTTCCTGGAACTTTGTCTCTAGGAGTTTTCTGTGTCCTGAGTTGACAGCATTATCTTCTAAGGAAACTACACAGTGATACTTAGGAATTCAGGCATGCTACCAGCACTGGTCCATTTTCATCTAAATTCTTGCTTGGGTTTTTCCATCCTTGATGACTGCACCCAAACTCCACTAAGACCAGTTCGTGACCAAGAATTCTTAGAGGAGAGTTTTGTTTTTACTCCTTTTCCAAGAGCAAATAATGAGAAAAGCCTGTTTCCTTGCCTTTGCTGGCTTTATAAATCTAATATCTGTTTCATTTTTTCCCTCTTCTCTAGAATTTAATCTGTGTGATTCCTGGTTCTGTCTAGTTCATTTTCCCACAATGAGCACATCTAAAATTTGATCACCTGTTCCTTGATGACATAGCTACTAAATCAAACCTCTAGCCCACTCAGAGTTGCTGATACATACATGACAGGAGCTTGGATATTAGTGCCAAGAACTGAACCCAGGGCTTTGCACATGTGAGACAATCACTATGCATCTGCAGCCCTTCAGAGCTTGATCACCACCATCCATTACTTTTCTAGCTGATTTCCAGCCTGTGGAAACCCCCACGTTTTCTTACAAATGCAGCCATATATTTCTAATACTCTTTTTCATGTCTTACCTGGTATTTTCAAATATTTTGTAGTGAAAGCATTTCAGGGTATCTAGATTAATATATAGTTGAAAGTTGAAATAGTAAGCATTTGCTTTTTAAATATCTGGACCCTCTAGTTTCTACTCTTCATTTTATTGATTGTCAAATAAATGAACAGGATGATGGAAAGTCGCTCACCTCTACACCTATAAATACTAAATATGCTATCTGAGTTTTTGGAAAAACAACTCTGAAAAAAATGAGATCAATTTAATGGATAGCCTTCAACCCTCATGATAGTTTTTTCTTCTTCTAGAATATTCCAAAGAGTTTCCCTAAAGAGCTGTAGGAGGCATAATCAATGCAGGAATTGTGAATAAGGGGAGTGATTGAAGCCTTGTGCTAGCACCTCACCAGTTCTCAAAGCTGTCTTTCATGGATAAAATAAAGCTTAATGGATAAAAATGCTTCTTGGAAGTAAGCCAGATTTCACATGAAAGGGCTTTTATTTTACTCCATAGGAAAAGATTTCTTAGCAATTAAATATAAAAAATTTAATCATTCAGGCTGTTTCACAATTATACCATGTGGATGATAAAACCTGTTTTATACATTATTGAATAGATTAGTTGTTAAAGTTTTAGCACAGAATCTACACATAATTACTGATAATAAAACAATATTATTTCCTTACATAAAAGCTCTGAGGTGAATAACAAGATCTTTTCAAAGGTTAAGTTCGGAGACGATTTAATGTCTTGAGGAACTATCAAAATGAATCCAGGAAAGCTGTCTTGGTTTCGCATCCTGCAGGCTTCCCTCCTGCGATCCAAAGTACCATGATTTTTCCTCATTTTGAACATCAAGTTATATTACAGTTTCTCACTGAAAGAAGTTCATGTGCTAGGTTTTTATTGTTTTATGTGATAAGCAAGGGATTCCTATTAGATATTTATGGATCACAGAGATGGATAGCAAGGAAAGTCTATTCTCATTGAGCCTATAGTCTCATGAAATACTGAACCCTTAACATCTATTAGAACAACTAGAAAGAGTTCAAAAACTAGCTACTGAGGGCCATGCATTTATCTTCTCTCCCAATGTAGACAGTTGACATCTTGGGACAGCCAGTTCCTCCACGTAGCACCAAACAAAACAGAGTTAAAGATATTAAAGAATCCTAACAATAACCAATTTTAAAGGCTTTCTATCATGAGTCTTCAATGAGAATCACAGATATCGCTGAAATAGAAAGTACACACAACACTGCTCACAGTATTGAGCATTCTGTCTTGAAGGGCTATGTCCCCCAGAGTGAAAACAGCAGCTGTACAAAATTAAAACAAAAACTGCAAACACAGCAGAACTTTATTCTAGGAATATCTTATGTGATAATATAAGTAGGAGAAATTGTCTTACCAACTTTAGGTAGCCCTCAGCATCTAGAATTAAGTTTTCTGGCTTCAGGTCTCTGTAGATAATGCCTAGTCGATGCAGGTAGTCAAATGCCTCTGTCACACAAGCAACACAGAATTTGGAGGTGGGTTCATCAAAGCTGCCTCTGCAATGACATCATTTTTCTTCTTAGCACTCTGGATACATGTCTTTGGTGCTATTCTATGACTCTTTTATTTTGTTAGTAATTTTGCAAGATGTCAGTGTTTGTGTGTATGTGTGGGATGTGTGTGTTACGGTGCACATGTGGAGGTCTCAGAGGACAACCTTAGGTGTCAGTCCCCATCTTCCTCCTTGTTCGAGACAGGGTCTTGTTTTTGTTGTCTGCTGTTGTGTACTGGCTTGGCTCCCAAGCTTCCAGGATTCCCCTGTCTCTACCTCCCATCTTGTAGGAGGATTACAGGTGGGTGCTACCCCCTCCAGGTTATGTGAACTCTGGAGAGTCAAACTCAGGTCCTCATGTTTACACAGCAAGCACTTTACCCATGAGCCTATGCCAATACTAACATTAAAATACATTTTACACTGTAAATGGATTAGACTATGTACTGATCATGAAGGAATTGACAGGAACATGGAATGCAAGATACAACTACTCGCTAACCTTAAAATATCCATATTTATGCAATTCTTCCTAGTAATCATATATGAACCTATAAAAATATAGAAAAAAAGAAAACAAAGACTTTTAGAAAACTGTGGCATATTCTGGAAATATGCAACTATTTCAATGGAAAGCTTGGACCAAATTTCAATATTCATTGCTTGACTAAAAACGGTGTACGTGATCATTTTCATTCCTGTTTGTACAGCACAAAGCAGGAAGTCAGGAAGAAAGAGGAATGCAATACAGGAATTCAATCATTCCTGTTTTGTGCCCTTTGATCTTCTAGTAGAATTCCCCTGTATGGTATAAAGTTTTATACACAGATTGTTCTCCTTTTTTTAATGTGGTAGTGAGTCTCCACATTTTATAACTGAAGGGTATGACTTTGGATAAAAAACTTACTTTGATTCCTGCTTTCTTCACTCACCATATCCTTAGGCAAGTGATTCAAATGTCCTGAGCCTGGAGAACAATGCCTCCCAGATGGTTTTGCTACTTATATAACAGGGTTGTTCTCAGGGTAAATACAGTACCTAGCAGGTAAGAGGACCTCCTTGTCTAAATAGACACAGATTTCGTAAGCAGATTTCCCCAGTGAAGCAAAGATGCAATACGGTAACGCTTTTATGGGCATCCTGAGTGTCTCTTCCTTTTCCTGGTTCTCCCAGTTCAAATACAACAATATGTTCTTAGCACAACATACATCTGCTTAGGTGCTAAATGTTCTTTTCTTTCTTAGCTCGGTACGTCTGAGCTACGAGTGCACTGAGAACCACTTAAACAAATGATATATTGGACCCGCACCCCAGGTGAAATGAATCATTGCAGGTGATATTAGGACACAACATTTTTGGTCCATTCACGTCACTGTCTCTTGCACTGCCCCAGGAAGAATGCACAAACATCTGCCTGTCAGTAGCTCCCTTGATCTAATGCAACACACCCTCCCAGGTCCTCCTTGGCTGTCCTCATCTATTCTACACACTTCCTTCTCCATATCCACCAGGCGGTATTCCTGCCTTGTCTTTTCCCAGCTCTCTGCCTCTCCAAATCTTTGTCATCTTGAAAGTTCACACTCTTCCTCTGATTTGCCATTTAATTACAAATTTCCAACTTCTTTGCAATTATTTAACTTTTGTAAAAGTAAAATATTTTTATATAGCAACTTTCCAGATAAACTCTAAACATTTTTCTAAAGTTTAGACTTTTATCATCTTTTAGATAGAAAAAAAAAATCTGTGTTATCTAAAAACCCCCAAACTGTCATTATGGTGCCTTCTACATAATGGTGCTTGGCACTTATCTGTTATGTTGATTGCATCAAAACCACTCTGAGTGAAATTAAACCTTTGTAGACATCTAACTCCACTTTTGGGTGAGGATCTAACCACTTCCCACAACACCTGCTTTTCAGTATTTGGAATGAGAAACATTTGAGTCTGACCAGGGCCTGCCTCTGCTAACCACATGGCCTTAGATGTCATACCTGCCCTAAGCTTCAGATTCTTCAATTCATTATGCACTTCAGAGGGTGCATAATGTTAGGTAATAATATGCAATGATTATTACTTTATTTTCTTATACTCTTTCCCTAGTATCGTCCTTTCTGCTCTAGATCATATGTGAGTTGATGGAAGTGATTGCTTGTAACTTTTTTCCATTACCTGTCCCTTAATATACTCCATAGCTCCCCACCTAAGCAGGCCTCCAGAAGCATGTATACATATTTATTGTCCTTGAAAGTACGATATAATCTGTAGAGACAGATGAAAACATATGATTAGAAATATAGTTCTAAAACTCTTTAAAGTTAAGATTGTCATCAGTAACATTTTGAACAATGACTCCCATTTCCACTAATATCCTACAGCTCCCTGGTCTCCTCACCAAATCCTCTTTGATCATTTCTGCCCACAGACTGAACTTCCTTACCTCTACTTCTCTGTAAAAGTCATCCTGGAAGGCTAAGCTCCAAGGCCACTTTCTCAATAAGGTGGCTCATTAGCCAGGTGTGATGGTGCACACCTTTAATTTCGGCTTGTGGGAGAGAGAGGCGGGCAGATCTCTTTGAGATCGAGGTCAGGCTGGTCTACATAGTGACTTCCAGGTCAGCTGTGGCTACAGTGAAACCATGTCTCAAAACATAATAATAAATAAGCTAGCTTATTATTTCTTCTACTAAACAGGGCCTCTCCTTCCTCCCCAAAGCCACAAGCCTGCACATGCATCACCTTAATATTTGCTTTGCATAATAGTTAATTATACACATGTTGTATGTCCCTTAACTGGTTAGCTAATACTGGAACTAGACTCTGAGACAGAGATTTTTAAATAGCAAATCTAGTGGGGAGTGGCTGGCAAAAACAAATAGGGGTAGCAGCCTGGATAGGCTTATTCCATAATATAATTTCAATAAAGTTCCCACCTTCAACATAATGGTGCTTGGCACTTATGTGTTATGCTGCAGTTGGTTATCCCTTGAAAGGGGATGCTAAGTGAAGTGGCTCTGATCATTATGAACAATACCTGGGAAGGACTGAAGTATTATGCTCAACAGGACACCACACTCGAAGCTGATCGAAGCTAAGGTAAGGGGAGCCTCCGTCTTGGTGTGATGCCTGGGCAATGTACCATACTGAACACTGGGTGAAAACAATTTCTGGTGCTTAATGTTTGAGAGGTCTCTGTTCTCTGTAGCACCACGCCCAAATTAAAGCTGGCAGGAGAGCAGCCAGATCAAGTACAGGCACAAGAAACTCTAGCGAGTGGTTTGTTCAGAAGCTTGGCATGATTGCACACATCTATAATCCCACCACTCAGGAGTAGGAAGATTACTGTGGATTCAGGATTGTCCTGGGCCACATAATGAGTTCCAGGCAGGCCAAAAAATTAAAGTGTTTCAGAGGATGAGCTTCAGAGCCACAGCCCACATGGGACACCTGCTCACCCATTGCTTATACAACTTCAGCTTCCTCTTTGTTTCTCATTTTATAAAATGTATATATATGTATATAATTCATCAGTTTGCATATTGAATATACTTTTATAGATTATTGATGATAAATAAATACTGAAAAATATATATGTACATTTCTGATTCATCTGATTCTCATAATAGACAATGAGTATAATCTTTCCCCACCCAGTCCCTTCTATTTCTTAGAAGACTGACCTGAACATGTTAATCTCACAATACGGTAAATGTTTTCTCTAATATTCTAAATTTTATCAGCACCATGCTGTATGGTGGGCACTTTGCAAGAAATTAACAATGCAAAAATGAATGCAACCCTAAAGTCATCCATCATAATTCACTAGTGAAATACTAATTTTTAAATCATTTTTTTTAATTTTTAATAACTACATGATTAGAAGAAGCATTTCACTACAGCATTAACATATTCAGTGACACAGTCCCGAGCAAGAGTACATCTCTTTCGCAAGTGGTTAAAAGTTTCTATGTTCACAGTTAATACAGTCATGCAATGTTGAACTCAGTATAAGCCCTGTAAGACATAAAATTGAATGAGTCTTTTAACCTTTAAAAAAGATCTCCATTTCATTTTAGAATATATTGTTCCTTGCAGAAAGACTCATTGTTTTTGCTACTAACACTGAGATGCTGGCACATGCATCTCTAATCTGTATGTATCTGATTATTACTAGTCATAATCGGTTGCACTTGGATCCTTGGCACCTGTGTATATCTATAAAGTCATCGAGTAGATTTCAATGGTAATGTTTATCACCTCTACTAATTAGCATGATGTAAATTTCCATGCTTCCTCCTCAAGTGAAATACTAATTTTAAAGGGGAATTCTGGAAAAACGAAGATTTACAGAATCTTTGGAAGATTCTGGAAATATTGCCAGCTTGACTAGGATCAGAATTTTTTTTAACACTGAATAAAGATACACCTGGGAATGTGTATAGGCAGGAAAGTTCTCTCAAGGCACTTCATCAAGTAGTGTAAATTCTCTTCCTTCTAGGCTGTGTATCACCCCAAAGTCACTGAAACCACACTGAAGTGTCATTAAGAAGTCCATAAAAATTTAAGCTGGTTTATAGCAGTAGTTCATGAATATACAAGTAAAGATGGTGATGGCCTAGAACAGTGTCACCCAATCTGGAAATAAGTACAGGGAATAAAGAATATCTATTAGGAGATGGTTATGTTTGTAGTTTGGCATTGCCAGGACTAAATATGTTTCGCTTTAGTCGCCCACATGTACCCAATGCCACTTCTTACACATTCAGCATCTGCCCACTCCGAGCAGTGCCGATGCTTTCTTCCTTATTCCCAAATTCTGCATTAGCTTTGGGTAGAACAATTAATTCAAACTCTTCTTCCATAATCTCCTCTCTCTCTCTCTCTCTCTCTCTCTCTCTCTCTCTCTCACATACACACACACACACACACACACACACACACACTCACTTCTGTTTGTGAGGTTTTCCCTAGATATGAGCAACTGGAAACTCTAACCGCATATCCCATTGGAGAATCAGAGTGGTACCTCCACCCTCCCCATCCTTTGTTGTCTTACACAGAACTGCTCAAAGATGAACCTAAAACAAAAGCTAAGTTTTGGGATGCCAGCAGCTCACTTACTTTACAACGAATGGAGAGCACAGCTCCTCCAAGATCCTCTTTTCTGAGTAGACATGCTCCTGTTGCTTCGTGTCAACTATGTGCTTCTTCCTTATACACTTCATAGCAAAAGCAACATTCTCATTTTTAACCTTAACCTATGTGGGAAATGGAAAGATCCCGCAATTAACTCACTCCAAAAATCTACAATGTATTATAAGTGTATATATATATATATATCACATTTTTAACTGATGAGAGTTAAATTGTTTCACACTTAAATATCAGTCTAGAACTGAGTTTCATTTAAGTTTGTAAACTTCCAACCTATTATTTCCAAAATATTCCATATAACCTGGTCCTAAATTTTTGTATTAAAATAAGAAAAAGGCTGGTTAAATTTAATTTATAGAAATATATTCAGTTTTGATTGTGCAATGCAAACTACTTTGATAAGAATTGCCACAACTTTGTAGTTCTTAATAATCACTTCTAATTTTCAAAGAAAAATCTATCAAATTCGATATCTGTACTATTCAGTAAGGCACCTACTATTCACATGGGGTTATTTAAATTTAACTTAATTAAAAGTAGATATTCATTTCCTCAATTTTATTAGCCAAATTCCAAAGATCAAATGGCACATCTACTTACAGAAGAGCACAGAGGGTGGGGCATTTCCATCAGGGTAGAGATTTTTATTGGAAAGTGAGAGTGTGCTAGTCTGTGTGTAAAAATAAGAATTTTTCCTTAAAAGGAAATTAAGACTTAAAATAAGTATTTGTTCTAATAGGTGTAAAACCCCATAAGTAGACACTACTGGCTAGTAAGTGGAAATGGCTGTGCCTCATATTTTGATCATGTTTACCACTGGTAATACCTATGGATTTAAAATCAAAGGTAAAAATACTGCTTCTTTTACTCTCATCTAAGAAAGTGGTTTTGGCACTGTTAATTCAATCCTTTCACTGTATTCTTTGGTAGAAAATACCAGCGTGGGTGAATAGCCACAAAGAGCATAAGAAATGCTATAAATATTCTTTGCCCTATTAAGAAACTGTTTCCCCTTCACCCATCAGAGATGAGTTCTGGCACAGGTGTCTTGTGTGATACCCGGGTCTATGGCAGCAATTCAGAGCTGCTTGGGCCCAGCCATCCGGCAGACAAAGGCATCGACACAGTTCCCGGTGGTCAGTGCACAGTGAATTGTTAAAAATGTGATGGGCAAAGGAGGACTTGGTCATTGCCAAAGGCTCAGGGCCATCTGCACCCAATAAGGTCACAGATGTCCATGCCAAAGTTTCCTCAGAGCACTTGATCTGGCAGTACCACTTCTGCTACTCTGTGGAAGCTGATTTTTAAGCACAGACAGGTAGTGATGAGGAAGATCACTGGAACCGGGCTATGGCTTCCAGCTGTCCTGAGCACAGTGGAAGGCTGCTCTTCAAACATTTCTTGCCCTCATCTTTCCTTTTTCTCTGATGGAAAATTTTAAGCAACCCAAAAATAGGGTAATGGAAGCGAAATACAAAAGTGGAGGTAGATGTGCTTAAAAATATAGCTGCAACATTAAAGATTCCATTTCCGTGGTATGTCAACTGGCCACATTCGCCTTTTCTTTAGCATACAGAGTTAATGTGTTGTGAATATATGTATCTATTTACATACAATTTTCTGCTAAGAAATACAATATTTTATTTCATAATCTTTGGGAATGCTTACTTGGCACATTCTTCAATAATTAATAGCAAGAAAAGAAGTCATGAAAGGATGTGGTGATGTAATGAGCTTGATAGGGCAGCTAATTATTATTCTACTTACTAGCACAGACCAGCCACTATACACCAGACTGAAAACTTCAGTTTCTCTATTTCAGACTGAAAATTTTAGTTTCTCTATTTCAGTTCTAAACATCATTTTAGATAGCAAAAACAATTCACACATTCCTCCAAGACAAGCTGGAACACAAAGCAAAACAACAAAAACGTCAAAAAGCTTCTCTCAGATGCTTGAAACGTAAACCCCTTACAAGCTCAACTCTTCCGAACCCACCAACGCCCAGTGTTGCGATAATCTCAAGGTTCTGGAATGGGGAGGATGAGGAAAATCTTGCCACCTTCTCCTTCAGCTGAATCATCTCCAGAGAAAGTGCTTTTGACAGCTTCCAGTTAGACATGGAACGCCTGAAGAGAGAAGTTAAACATCACACCCCTGAGCCATTCCCAAATTCCACTCAAGGACTCTCATTTCTGTCACAGACTATCACATAGTTGCCACAAAGACTACCTCGGCTTCAGTAAGAGCAGATTCAAACACATCTCTGGAGAAAAAACAGTAGAATATGGGCCACATTGCACATGAATAGGCAAAAGTTAAGTGAATTTTTTAAGAGGTAAAATGAGGGAATTTTGAAGCATTTGAAATATATCTCAATAATGTTGTTTGTAAATAACCCAGAAAAGGCGTCAGTATAACTTTCTTTTATTAATATAGTCACTCTCTCCACTGGTTAGTAAGAGAAGGTCATAGGAGCCAGGAAACCTCTCATTCTTCCAAAAAGCGTGAGCGATGGGCGAGAGCACGGCACCCTGGGAGAAAGGCTAGCGCCTACCCACCAGTAGAGGAGCGGCAGCGAGGTTAGAACCAGAAGATGAAGTGTGGGGCCAGCTGGGGCGAATGGCGGGGACGTCCTACAAGCGTGGAAGCAAGGTGGGGCTTTTACAGACCTGGGATGAGACCATGAAAGCTAATGGAGGCTGTGGGCAGGGTGCAAAAGCCATAGGCACAACGGCCAGGATGCAATGCAGATATAGATAGATGATAGACAGATGATAGATGATAGATAGATAGATAGATAGATAGATAGATAGATAGATAGATAGATGATAGATAGATATAGATATAGATATATAGATATAGATAGATATAGGTATAGATATAGATCCATAGAGAGATCTATATAAGAAAATATATATATATATTTTTTTTATGTATATGTGTGTATTGCCTGCATGTAGGTAAGTGCAACCATGTTGTGCAATGCCTGAGGAGGACAGGAGAGGCTGTCAGATCCTCTGGAACTGGAATTACTGACAGTTGTTAGCTGTCATCCCCTCTTTCCCTACCATAAAGGACCATGCAAAACTCAAACTAGAAAGGCCTTATGTTAGTCTGTGAGCCTTGGGCCCTTGGGAGGGCATGCAAGGAGCCTCCAAAGAAAGGAAAAGGGAAGAAAATTTGGTGTCACAATCATAATGGAAATTTTTCCCATGTTTTGCTACTTTTGAAGCTTTTCATGGGTTACTCAGAACAAAACATGAAAACACATTTCTTAGTTTACATTTAAGTATTGTTGTGTGGAAATACCCCTTGTCTTTGAATTGAAAGTTACTGTTCTGAGTTATATATGTATAAACTGTTGCTATAGAAGATCTTTGACACAAATATTTCAAAAGCATTCCTTGAAGGAAAAATAAGTATAGATTCAGTACTGATTTAACTCAAAATTTAGTTTTTTCAGAATTTGAATGTATATTTCCAAAAGCATTATCTCATGAGTATAAGCTTAAATTTTAATTCAATAATGTTTTAAGGGCTGGGGCTTACCAGACTGGTAGAGTATCTGCCTAGTATATATAAAGATCAGGGTTCAATCTTCAGCACTAAAAAATTTACACTAAAAATTATAATGTTTAGCAAATAATTATCATTTGATCAAAGTTCCCTATAAATAGAAAATCAACTGATCACAATGACTCCATTTGAAGTACTATTTAACATCCACCTATACACAAATATATCTCTGTAAATTTCTGAACAATTCAAACTATAACCCCACTGTTCACCTGTAACCAGGTCCTTTTAAACCAAGCCAAACTAGTAAGGTATTCCCCTTTTCAGGAAATCTCTCCCTAAAATTTCTACTTATCACTTAAAGTGTTACATACTTATAGACTTAAAAACTCTCCATTCTGGTAATTAAGTGGCATCTATAGAGTTTTCTGGTAACTTTCACATTGAAAGTTACCACACAGGAAATCACACTTGGTGTCCTAACTTTTTCTACTGTAGAAAGGCCAGCCTGACTGAGGAAGGGCTATCTTACTTACTTTGCATGTCTTTTTTCATCATCACGGTTCAGGTTGGCCACATATCCTTCCAGGTATTTTTGGAGTTCTTCAAATGTCCCAACAGTTTGGTTGAATGTTCTAAATAAATAAAATAAAATAAGATGCTCCGTTGTAAAGGTACCATGGCAATTTAATATTCTTCTTTTTCTTTTCTGTGTTTATGTGGGAAGTGTATACATGTGGGGGTAGGTAGTGTGTGTGGAGGCCAATGGGCAACCTTGGGTGTTTTTAGTCAGGTGCTAGGCTGGCTTGTCAAGAAGCCCCAGGGGCATGACTGTCTCTACTTCCCTAGGGCTGGGATTACAGACATCTGCCACCACACCCAATGTTTTTATGTGGGTTCTGGGGATGGAACTTGGAGGGTCTTCACGCTTGCACAGCAAGCAGTTTACAGACTGAGCCATCTCTCTGCCCAACATTTTTCTTAAATACACACACACACACACACACACACACACACACACACATGATTTGAATGGTTATTTATGGATTTTAAATAGTTTTTCAATAATTTATGTAATATTCAAGTTGCTATAATTATGACTAGTTTCTGGAAGTTCTGTAACAGATCCTTTGTGTTAATTAAAGCAAAAAGATTCTCAGTGAGAAAGCATTTTCTATGAATTTCTGTCTTGCAGTTCTGGTTTACCAGAAACCTATTTTTGTTCGTTTTATGGAGACAGTGGAAAGATTTTACATGGTGCTTACTGGGTTGACAGTACTGGGCTACAGACTGTTCTAGCTTTGCTTAATTAAATTAGGTTGTTTATTTTAAAACTCAGGAACAAAATATCTTTCTTCCATCTCTGCTCATTCTCATTTCATGTTCTTTCATAACTAAATCCATTTTTTAAACTTTAGTTTTCTAAGTCTCAGTCAATGTCTTCCATTGACCTCCCTCGTCCTCATGAACCACAGCTGTGTATCGCCCATTCTGCTCTCCTCTGTCTGGGAATTCTCACACATTTTGTTGCCCATTAGGAAGAAGAACCCCTGTTCCTAATAGTGAACGGACTCTTTTCTCAATTAAACATCTGGCACTTCCCCATGCCCATCTCTTACACACCACCTTATTTGGAAACATTAGGACACTTCTCTTCCCTACTATACATAGTATCCTTGAAAATAAAGACCATGCTTTAATCATTTCAATAACATTATAGTCAGTGGATTCATGATAGAATGAAAATGCACCTCAAAACACTTAAAACTAATAAGTTAGTGCCACTTCAAAAGTGTACTGTCACAATTCACTGCTTCTGCACTCATTTAACTAACAACAAATCAGTCTTCATGTTACCTAGCACAGGTTACACATTGGACAGGAGTGTCCACGCTTCAATCCAGGTATGCTCTCCCCTCTTTTGACTCAGTTCTTTAGACTAAACTTTGGTAACTCTAATAAGGCATAAGACAATATTATCATAGAAGCTCTGATTTCTGTAATAGTTAACTTTTTCAAATAAGGGAAAAACTTCTTTTGGACCTACTTATTGCTCTTCATTATTTTTCTTGCTACTAAACTAATTGACTGTAGTAAATAGATCTTGTTTTTTCACAGAGGTGATACTTGTGTCACAGGTCCCTTGAGGTTCTCAGCTCACTGACCTTGAGAGCCATGTTTCAACAGCTACAACACTCTAGTGCTGACTTCAAACAACTTAAATCTCTGCAGATGTTATAGCCCAAGGAGTAAGCAGCAATTCTTTGAGATTTGTCTCAGCAATCTGATGGAGATGTCACCAGCAACTGTTGACATTTGTTTAGAGCAGTTGCCATAAATTATTTCACTTGCTTCATTACAATTTCAAAATGGGAAAGGTAACTCAAACTCTATCCTTCTTGTACCATAATCATTCTAAAAATTGGCTAAAACTCCAAAATTGGAAGAAAGAAATCAGAGTTTTCAGATATTCAGTCACTATATTTCAGTGTAGGGATGGCTTCCTCTACCCAAGCCACCATATGGTAAGCATGTCCCATGTGGACTATGTCAGATGCTGGCACTGCACTCCCAAGGTACAAGTGATATATTTATGTGCTCAGAAAGCTTACAGGAGATTGGCAAGACAGATGTTAAATAAAGTAAAATGTGAGTATCAGTATGGTTAGGGTCTAGAGAAGGCTGTGAGAGATATTATAAGGGCTTAATCTACTCCATGTGTTAATAATTGGGGTGATCATATCATTCATCATCCAAACTGGAATACTTTTCAGAGCAAAACAAGATGCCAATAATAAAAAAGGAACCCCAACGGTCCAGAAATCCACATTGAACATCAATCTAGTTGTACCTGATAGTCAATCTCTCTCACCCATAAATTGCTGCATATTTTTATGGATTACAAGCTGCTATATAAACATATGATGCTTGTAAGCAGAGATGAAGAAGGAAAGCTTTTTCCTCCTTTCCATCATATATTTTGTCCTGGCATTTTGGAGCAATTATACTGCAGCTAATGAACTTTAGTACATGTATATATTTTTAAGGAACTCAAAAACAATTCATTGTTGGAGCAATACTGAGCCAATGCCTCATCCATTTGACAACTGGCATCCAAAAGTACTTTTATTGAAACACACTTCACCTTCCTAGCCCTATCCTTTTGCTTTGCAGTTCTTTTACTTCTCATGGAGTGATGTCTACATTTTATCTTTGCTTAGTAAAGTCCTGTTTTGTCCCCTGCCAGCCTTAAACCCAGGCAGGCCCCAATTCCTCCATCTCAGATCCCTGGACTAGCTTCCTAACCCTACCTAGTTTCCTAACCATGACTAGCTGATTGCTAAATTCCTACTCTGCCCTCCTACTCCCTCCCCTGGCCCCCACCACCACCATCTTCTCTGGCTCCACAGCAGCCAACCAGACCTTCCTATCTAGGACTCTGGTAAGTCAGATCCCACCCACTGCATCTCTCTTCCATTCCTCTCACCCACCCCTACCCTGTCCCTGCCAGCCAGGCTCCAATTCTTCCCCCTCAGATCCCTGGACTAGCTTCCAAACCCTCACTAACTAAACTCCCTAGCACACACTCCACTGGCTCCTGACCTGTGGAGTGTAGGAAAAGACTGCTACATTGAACCTTAACCACCGACAGCTCAGAGGACAAATTTACACTGAAGGACATTTGGGTATAAATCTCTGAATGGACAGGATTTAACATGTATGGTGGAATATATGAGGTCTGGTGGGGGGATGGGGAAAGAATGAATGGGGGAGCGGTCAAAATTTGATTAAGAACTGTTGTATGACATTACAAAAGCTCAATAAAAATATTTGTATATTAAAAAAAGATTGAGATTTGGTTTTGTTTGAATACATGTCCAATTAAATTGTTATGACAGTGGTTAAATACTTCCTATGAGTTTAAAATAATGTATTAAAGGACTAGTCCTGTCAAAAAGAAAAACCATCTTTTTGTTATCTTCGAGGATCTCATCTCACCTTCAAGGATAGACACTATCTGAGGTAAAATGATGGAAAAATATATTCCAAGTAAATGGCTCTAAGAAGCAACCAAGTATTGCAATTCTAATATCTGACAAAACAGACCAGATTAAAACTCATCAGAAGAGACAAAAAGTATTACTTCATTCTAATCAAAGGAACAATTGACCAGAAGATATTACAATATTGAACATATATGCACCAAACTCTGGAGCACCCAATTTCATAAAAATGGGGCTCCAGGACTATAAAACAGATACTAACCCCAATTCAGTAATAGTAAGTGAATTTATTACTCCACTATCTTCAATAGACAGGTTAACTTGACAAAGAATAAACAGAGAGAAATCTGAATTAAATGGCCTATTACATGAAATGGACCTAACAGACATCTAAAGAAAATTCCACCCAAGAACCAAAGAATACACTTTCTACTCAGCAGTCCATGCAAGTTTTTCTAAAACTGACCATATTCTGGGAGACAAAACAAATCTCAACAAATACAAAAAATTGAAATAATCCCATTGCATTCTATCAGACCACAGTGCAATAAAGCTTAAAATCAACAGCAAAAGAAGCTCTAGTAAATACATGAACTCAATGAGATTAAACAACACACTCCTGAATGATGAATGGGTCAATGAAGAAATTAAGAAATAAAAGTATTCCTGGAACTAAATGAAAATAAGACTACAATCTGACAAAACCTCTGGGACACCTTAAAAGCAGCCCTAAGAGGGAATTTTATAGCTCTTAATGCCTATATTAGAAAATCAGAAAAAGCACATGTAAATTACTTAACAGTACAACTCAAGACTCTGGAAAGGCAATAACCAATGAACCCCAAACCTAGTAGATGAGAAGAAATAACAAAAATCAGAGCAGAAATCAATGAAATAGAAACAAAGAAAGCAATGCAAAAAAAAAAAAAATCAATGAAACTAAGAGCTGGTTCTCTGAAAGGTCAAACAAGATGGACAGACCCTTATCCCAGTTAACCAAAAGAAAGAAAGAGCAAATCCAAATCAACAAAATCAGAGATGAAAGGGGAAACACCACAACAGACAACAACAAAAAAAAAAAATCCAGAACATTGGAAAGTGAATACTTTAAAAATCTATACTCCATTAAACTTGAAAATCTAAAAGAAATGAATGAATTTCTAAAGCTATGGACATCACCAAAGCTAAACCAAGAAGACATCAACGGCCTAAATAGACCCATAACAAATAAAGAAACTGAAACGTTAATACAAAACCTCCTGACTTATAAAAGCCCCGGCCCAGATGGATTTACAGCAGAATTCTACAAGACATTCAAAGAAGATCTAAAACCAATACTGTGTAAGTTATTCAAAAAGATAGATACAGAGGGAGAACTCCCAAACTACATCTATGAAGCTAGTATCACTCTAATACCAAACCAAGTAAAGATACAACAAAAAAGAAAACTACAGACCCATATCCTCAATTAACATAGATGCAAAGATAATCAAAAATACTCATGAACTGCATACAGACACACATCAAAAAGATCATTCACCATGATCAATTTGGCTTTATTCCAGAGATTCAGGGATGGTTCAACATACATAAGTCAATAAATGTAATAAAACATATAAATGGACTTAAAG